TACATTACACAATGTACAGCAAAATGTGTAACAAATTAGAAGTTATGGAGGAACTCCAAGTCTCCTGTAAAGCACTGACTTTATTTATTTATTTATTTATTTATTTATTTATTTATTTATTTATTTATTTATTTATACATACCCTGCCTATCTCGTCAATTGTGACCACTCTAGGCGGCTTACAACACACACTATAAAAACAATTAGACCTATGCAAATGATTATTACTAATTTATATGGAGAGTTAGTTTCCTCTGCATACCAGTTGCTAAAAACTGGTAAGTGCCCTACCACTCTCGCCTGGCTTGCGGGCTTCTTCCAGCCATCTAGTGGCCACCCAACAGAACATCTCTTACACTCCTTTAAGAATGAATGTACAGTGGTGCCTCGCTTAACGTTAATTCTTTCCAGCAAAATTGCTGTAGAGCGAAAACGTCGTAAAGCAAAAATAAAAAAACCACTGAAACACATTAAACCCGGTTAATGCATTCCAATGAGCCAAAAACTCACAGTCCAGTGAAGATCCTCCATATGGTGGCCATTTTCGGTGCCTGTATAGCGAGGAATCCGTCCCTAAGCACAGCGGGGAGCCATTTTGAGCACCCGGTGGCCATTTTGAAAACCCATCGATCAGCTGTTTTGATCGTCATAATGCAAAGAATTAGTTCCCAAAGCAGGGAACCGATCTTCACAAAGCGAAAAAAACTCATTTAAAACATTTTTTGCGATCGCAAAAACATCATTGTGAAGCGGTTTCGTCGTAATGCGAGGTAATCGTTAAGCGGGGCACGACTGTGCTGTAGCTCTGCAGCCCCTCTGTTCAATAAAATATGACTGGCACAGTAGTTCATTTGCTCATGAAATACATTCTTGCACATCAAGTTTATTTTGCACCTTTGGGAAAATCTGACTCACAAAGGTCCCATGTAGCTCAACACACTGAGCAACCAAAAGAACAGAATGACAGACAAAACTTCTCCCGAAATCCAGTCACAATCACACTGTTTTAGGGTACAACTAGCAACAATAAATTAAAGTTATTTAGGAGTCAGATTTTATGGACTAATATTTTTTTAATGTTAAGGAGCGGTAAAGATTAAGAATTTTTCTAATATGGCACAAACGGCAAAATCTGTATATAAAAGAAGTTGCTGTTTGTTGGTAGTTAGTCTGTTTCAACATTTTGGCAAAAGTAAGAGGGGTTAAGGTAAAAATACTGCACCACTATAAGGATCCATTTCATTTCAGCTTTTATGAATCAAAGTGTAAGCTTTCGTGGATCTACTTCATTTTTATCCACAAAACGAAACTGAAGTAAATCAGTTAGTGCCAAAGTATTTTGCTTCCCCCTTTTCTTTTCTTTTTGCCAAATCTGTACACTGTATTATTTTCCATGGCTTTATAACATCCTATTGCCCAGTACTACTCTACAGCTAAAGCATAGATCATTGCTATATATTTATACCAACACAGAACAGAATGGAACAAGGGCAAAAAACACATGGGCTCCAAACAGGATTTTATTCCTTCAAGGACGAAGGGCCTTAAATATTTTAGCACACTTAATAGACAAAGCAAACAAAATGTGTCTAAGATGTCATAGCAATCTCTTATACAGTATATTCTTATATAAGGGATTGCTATGACCTCTCTAGAACTCAAGCTGTGTAAATGTTATATACAGATAATGGTTCTTTTCTCTTTTTGCTTAGTTAAATTCCAAATCAGTTTAGTCTTCCCATCTCTTCACCGGAGCTCATCTCCTCTTATGTGCACTGTACAAAATGTAGGTGCATTAAGAATGGGCAAAGTGCAGCTGTGAGCCACATGTAGCCCACAAGAGTCATTTTTGTACCCCCATGCTCACCAGTTTAAAAAAAGATAGCTATTTCTGCTCCTAGTGGCCTCCAGAAGTGGCAGCTTTCACTTTAGGGGGGTTAGGGACTCCCCTACCCACTCACCCGAATTGAAAATGTAGCATCCATCTAGTCACTTCATTTTGTTTCCAAAACAAAAACAGAATGTAGCCATTTCCCAAACTGATGGAAATTTGGCCCTTGACCCAAGTTGCCCCTTCCTGCTAGATATGAATTAAGAACCCCATCATTTTTACTCAGGCACAGGAGTATTTTTAATTTGATTAAAATGTATATAGTATCTTTGGCTGGACTGTGTTTCATGTTTTTATCATTGTCAAGCACCTTGTAATAAAGAATTCTTTTTAAAATCCTCCAGTTTACGACTATGGGTTACCCTGCTTCTGTACTGAACCGGAGCTCATCTCGGAAATGGCTCAATATTGCTGCACAATATCACACCTGCATTGCAAGCAGGAAAAAGGATGCCAAGCTTTACATAGCAAATGGCAGCCTGAATGTTGACAACACAAATGTTGACAACACATTCAAGATGGTTTACTCAGGATACCTTCTCATGCCGTTCATAAACTAACACACAAGTGAGGGAAAATTCCAGAAGCTGACTCAGTTAACCATTTCTCACACTAACACAAATCAACTGTCAGGGCTATTTTTCAACCATGTATGACTGGCGGTTGATTTGCTCTGCCAGCACGAGGCAACAATAACAAGCTACATGGCATCAAGTCAATTCTGACATGACAACCTTTTCCAGAGCTTCTTAGGCATACAATACACATAAGTGGTTCCCTATTTCTTTTTTCTGGGGGCATCCTGGGACTGTGCATTTTTGCAATGCAATGTAGGTAGGGAACTAACACACAAGTGAGGGAAAATTCCAGAAGCTGACTCAGTTAACCATTTCTCACACTAACACAAATCAACTGTCAGGGCTATTTTTCAACCATGTATGACTGGCGGTTGATTTGCTCTGCCAGCACGAGGCAACAATAACAAGCTACATGGCATCAAGTCAATTCTGACATGACAACCTTTTCCAGAGCTTCTTAGGCATACAATACACATAAGTGGTTCCCTATTTCTTTTTTCTGGGGGCATCCTGGGACTGTGCATTTTTCCAATGCAATCCAATGCAAAAATCTCTTCCCAAGAATCCGAGCAGGGAATTGAACTCCCAACTCTTTGAAACTCCAAAGCCAGGTAAGCTTCCCATTAGTTTCTATGGATGGAAAAGAGCAGATACGGATCAAATGGTTCTCAATGCATTCCTATGGGAAATGCAGATTTGACCTGAGAACTTTTTGACTTGAGAACCGCCTTCCAATACGGATTAAGTTCTCAAGTCAAGACCCCACTGTACTCAAGCTTCAAATGAGGAAAAATAATCTGTTTTAGAGTTCATTTGGCTTTTACACTGTAAAGGTCCAATGCAGTGGGATGGATCTGAATGAATATGAATGGAAAATAAATGGCAGGCAAATACAGCAAGTCTGGGGGCCATTTTTGCCCTCCCCTGAACATCAGGAGCTTCACAAACCATTTTTTCAAAACATATCATGCCCTCTATTCTATGGAGGAAAATGGCACAAGAATGGCCAGTTGGGCTCACCTAAAGCTTTGGGAAGGGCCCAATTGGTCATTTTCATGCCTTTATTTTGGCAGGGAGAGTTTGTGGATGCCCTGCCACAGTGCACTGTGCCCACCATGTTCAACAATATTTCTCATATACTGTACTGCTTACCTAAGAGATTGCATTAGCAGAATGGTATCTATCCTACACTTAAATCCCCTAATCTCCAGGCACTATTAAATGGTAACTCTCAGAAGCCCTAATTACTGTACTGGCAATGCTTGCTGCAGTTTCTGGGAGTTTAAGTCAAACATCTTGGGACCTATATCTGGGAACCACTGGTTGTATACAAAGTGTAAAATTGTCCTCCTATGAGCGAAAAGGCACCTCTGGATCATTGTGACTCAGTAAGCTTACAATGAAGCAGGAAAACTGTGTGAATGCTGGGGATACCTTCGTACCTCAAATCACAACAGCACAAAGGATTCAAAACATACTGAGGAAGTCCAAGCACTGCAGACAGGGAAATGTTGTGAGCCCATAAATTTATGGCCAAACTGGCATGCCTGCCACTGCTTCTTGCTGTTTTCTGCCAACATCTAAATCTGGTACCCATGTAGGACAGAGAGATCTTGTGTAGCATTTGGTACAGTGGGGTCTCGACTTACAAACGGCCCTACCTGCGAACAATTCAACTTACGAACCTGCCCTATAGGGGGAATAAGGACTTGACATACGAACTTCCCTCAAGTTACGAACAGGAAAAAAGTGCCCCCTCCCACACTTAGAGGCTTCGGGAGGGAGGAAAAGGGTCAGAAACTTTAAAATAAATACTGTACTGTAAAAGAAAGTTACTTACCAGGCCTTGGTAGCCCCCAAACTGCAGGAAAAAGAGCAGGAAACAGCTAAAAGCCCACACCCAGGAGCCTGGCAGCCATTTTGTGCTCCCTGGTCCGCTCCTCTCCCCACCTATCAGCTGATCGGCTGGCTCTGAACAGGCTTCGGGAGGCTTGCTCAGCACCTAAAAAGCCTGCCTGTGTGTCTTTGTGCTGAAAAAATCAGCACAACATGCTTTAAAACATGATTTAAAATTGGCTTCGTTGAAAAAAAGATTTCAAAAGTGCTTTTAAAACTGTTCCCTGCCTCCCCCTTCCTTTCCTGAACCTAAGGGGGAAAAAAGAAAAAATATCCACCTCTAGTGGTAGAAGGCGAAATAGCAGCTTCCCATTAGTTTCTATGGACAGAAAAGAGCAGATACGGATTAAATGGGTTTCAATGCATTTCTATGGTAAATGCAGATTCGACCTACGAACTTTTCGACCTACAAACCACCTTCCAATACGGATTAAGTTCGTAAGTCGAGACCCCACTGTACTGAATTTGCATTTGAAAGCTATTTGTGCAATTGGTTTCACAAAAAACAGGAATAATTACTGTAAATATAATTTTGTTATATTAATGAATGCACAGAAAACTGTATCATTTCCAATATTCAGTATGTGAAAGAGTATGAGCTGTTTGAACATTACATAACACATACAATTTAACCATTACAAGCACACAAATTATTTTTATTGTTAAAATAATATAAAACAGTCCTTAAAATGCACTTATTATAATGAGCAAGTATACAAGGCAGCATGTATGCATGTCCTACATCTTTGACACTATTCTAGCTATTCCACACACATTAATTTGTGCTTATAGTGAGAAAAACAACTATTTCAAGAGTCAAAGCAAGCAACTCATTGAGGTCATATACTGTAATTTATCCTCCCAATACATATAATGATCGCCTTACAATTCCAAACATCTATATTATTTCAAGCAAGATTTAAAGCTATTTCCATTTGGTGCTTCTTCAAATATGAAACTGGAATTATTAACTTTCTTCTTTTAAAAATGTAATCCTGAACAAAGTGGTACATACTTATTAACTTGGCAGTTATGCATTACTATTTCTGCAAACAAATTATAATGACCACAACACTGTTAAGCACACACAGAGCCATTTAAATCAATGGTTTAAATGCACTTAATTTTGTACTGGATTACGGCCACAAAGTCCACTGTGAGCTACTAACACAAGTTTGTGATTGTGTGTGTGAAAATGTAGTAATTCAACTACATAAATGACTGCCTACACAATGCAATGTTTAGAGATACATGAATTCTAAAAGAAAAATCATTGTGTTTGTGGCTCAGTAATCGATTCATCCATTGATTCTGCACCTTCTACTGGTATTTTACTGGACTCTTCACTCGGCTGACTCTGATTTGTTGGTTCAGTATTAGTATCTGCCTGTTTTTTGTTGAGTTCTTCATTATGACGGCTTTGGCAATGGGTCAAATGTTTCTTAAAGCCTCTGGGAAAGTTTGTCTCAAAACTGCAACGTGAACATTTAAGCAAACTCTGACCATGTGCTGCAACATGGTTTTTCAGGTGAGATTCCAAAAGAAATGCCTTTCCACATACATTACATTTGTATGGACTATGTACATTATGCTTGTTAACTAAATGATGCAATACAGCACCCTTTTTCATAGCCCGGCAGCAACAGATTTTGCAATAATATTTGCCTTTGCCACGCTTCATATATTTTGCTATCTCTTCTTCTGAGATGAAAGCTTCTTTCTCTTCGGTGAACTGCAACACACACTTAGGTTGAGTAGGAGTAGATTCCTCAGTTTTAGTTTCTTTGCTGAGGTCAGAAGTTTTAGTGTCAAACTGTTCCTGATCACTGCTGGATTCCTGTTCCTTCACCTCTGATGTCTCCATTTCAGCATTGCCACTCTCACTGCTATTCAGGTCTATATTAGAAGTCTCCTGACTGTCCTTCCTGGCTTTCTTCTTTGGACAAGAATACATTTCTTCTGTGAGTTCCTTGGCTTGTGGAGGCTGTTCTTTAGCAGCCAACAGACTGCTGAATAGATTCTCACCTTCTGGATGCTCAGTGAAAAAATCTTTATTAGCAGATTCAGTATGTGCTTGCAAGTCTGATAAAGCAGATGCAGCAGGCTGGCTGAGTTCAGAGACTGATGTTTTATGGGATTCTACGGTTCCTGTTTCTACTGTCCTATGGACATCAGGCCCAAACACCTGTTTATGATCAGGTTTCTGTGGCTCAGGTGAAAGACCATGTTTTGGAGGTTCAGCAAAGAAGCCTTGCCTCTGTTTCTCAGGAGAGCTAGGAGGTGGCTTCTGTAGATCTGCAAAGGCTGCATGTTTCTGTATTTCAGGAGAGACTGCTGGGGACTTCAACACTTCATGGGAAAGAACAGGTGGTTTCTGAGGTTCTGAGAAGGCAACATGCTCTTGAATTTCAGGAGGAACATCTACATGTTTCTGGGACTCTGTGAAAAAGGCATGCTTTGGGCCCTCAGGAGAGACAGGAGCAGGCCGGTGAGCCTCAAAGAGGGCATGTTTTTGGACTTCAGGAAAAGACATGTGAGATTCATGGAAGAAGGAGCGTTTTTGTAATTCAGCAGAAACAGGAGGAATAGATTTTTTAGGCTCAGGAAACAATGCCCGTTTTCGGGTTTCAGAAAACAAACCACGTTTTTGCAGCTCAGAAGAAACAAAAGGGGTAGTCTTCTGAGTATCTGGAAAGAAAGGAGACTTCCTGGATTCAGATGGAAATTTCCAAGGATCAGGGGACACAGGAGCTGGTTTACACTGCTCAGGAAAGAAAGAAGGTTTCCAAAGATCAGGCGACATAGGGGGACCAGATTTTCTGTGTTCTGTTGACATAGGAGGGTGAACGGGGGGTGGTACTGATGGGGATGGCCTCCAGGTGTCAGGAGACAAAACAGGCTTCCATCCTTCAGGATAAACAGAAGAAATGGGTTTCCAGGGCTCTGAGGAAGCAAGACTTGGCTTCTGAGACTCAGACAAGGAGGTAGATTTCCAAGACTCTGCCATAAATTTCTGAGATTCTGGGGACATCAAGCTACCTGGCCTTCTGGGTTCTGAGGCAGGTCTCCTAGGCTCAACTGACATAGATGTGGGAGGTTTGGGGGACCAAGGTGACACAGTAATAGACTTCTGCTGCTCGTGAGAACTACTAGAAGCAGACCTCCAAGCTTCTGAAACAATATTTGTAGTAGGTCTCCAGGGATCTGAGATGGATGGCTCAGGTTTTCGTGGTTCGGGGGAAAGTGCTGAAGTAGGCCTCCGCATTTGAGGGATATGCCTGCGAGGTTCTGAAGACAGAGCAGAAGTAACAGATTTCTTTAACTCTGGAGATACAACTGGAGAGTGCCTACGAGGCTCAGGAGACACTGCTGGAGAATGCCTGCGTGGTTCAGGAGAGACCGCTGGAGAATGCCTGCGGGGCTCAGGGGACACTGCTGGAGAGTGTCTGCGAGGCTCAGGAGACACCGCCGGAGAGTGCCTGCGAGGCTCAGGAGATACTGCTGGAGAGTGCCTGCGGGGATCAGGAGACACTACTGGGGCAAATTTATGTGGCTCAGATGTGGCCACAGATGGAGATGCAGGCAAAGCAGACTTTTGAGGCTCTGGGGACACAGGAGGAATTGGTTTTTGTGGTTCCAGAGGTATAACTGGGACAGGCTTTTCAGGCTCTGGAACAGATACATGTAATTCTGGATGTGCAACAGAGACATGTTTCTGTGGTTCTACATTTGTGATTGTGATAGGTTTCTGTGGCTCTGGAGACATTGCAGAGAGAGGCTTTGGCAGCTCTGGTGATTCTACTGGTGCAAGCTTCGATGGTTCTGGAGTGCCAGAAGGAGTTGGTTTTAACGGCTCTGAAGTCACTACAGAAATAGGTTTTGGAAGGTCTGACACAACTGAGATAGGCATCTGTGGCTCTGCACATGGAACTGGAGCAGTTTTCTGTTGCTCCGTGGGTATAGCTGTAGTGGGCTTTTGCATCCTGGAGGATAACCCTACATCGGACTTCAGAGGTTCAGAGGGAACAGGTTTCTGACACTCTGGTGATACAGCAGTTTTATGTGACTCAGGAGAAAGCGATGACTTTTGAGGTTCTACAAAAAGTGGTTTCTTTAGAGATTCTGTGTCTGTTTCTGACACAGCTTTCCGCTCTTCATTCCATTTGTCAGAGGCTGCATGGTGTGTTGTTATGTGATAATAAACATTACAGTACATCTTGCTGGTGAAAAAGCATTTGTGGCAGTGAAACAACTTTGCACTTTTTTGATAAAATATAAGTTTCCCCAATCCTGCAGTATCCATTTCATCACAAAACTCAGGATGGATAGTGCCCATATGAATCTGTATGTTCTCATAGTCGGAGCCCTTGAAATTGCAGTGATCACATTCCAAGCGTTCTGTTGTTCTGTGCAGGATCTTCAACATGTCAGTTTTTCTGTTATCAACTTGCAGAACACTACACATGTTTCAAATTCAGTCCAGTCGTCCTAAAATAAAAGTTAAAAATATTAGGTCCAAAACTATGCAAACATTTAATAACATAATTTTTTTAAATAAAATTGACTAATGAATGATAGCTTTTTTTTACCTTTGCAAAGAAAAACAGTATCTGACCTTGTTCTGAAATATCATCCATACCTACTAGGCAACACAACCCACCAATCCAGTTTGAAGAAAATATTGGCATTTCTAAGCATATCATCCTCTGCTTAAAGAATTCCAAATAGAAGGCTTTTTATTCTTTATAAAACTTTCAGAAGACTATAAAGATAACTTAAGCCTTTTACTGGTTCAAGGTAGTTGTTTTTGTTTTAGCGAGCCTAACAAAAACAATCTGCAGAGAATATCCAGCTAGTTCTAAGACAGAGAAAAACAACACAAAAGTGTTACAAATAGCCTGATTTACCATGCACAATGGAATAATCCTGGATTGCATATGTGGAGCTTGATTAGACTTAAAGAGAGCTGTTTGCTCTGCTTTCACTATCAAATTACGGTATGTTTTTCCCAATTTAAATATACAGGCAGAATATATCCTTAGCAAAACTAATTCCATACTAACTCACAGCACATCATAATCCTAAGGGCAGAATCTTATTAATGTTCACATTAAACTTCTTAACTGTCCATGGTTCATTGTGATGAATTGACCAATTGCCAGGACACAAGCCAGGTGCATAATCAGGCACTAAATGACAATAGGGGCCTGGTCTCTTGTCAATCAGTCATGGTAGTTGTGTTTTGGGTTGTTTTAAGACCAAATGAGGTTTAAAAGGGCCTGCATTCCATTTATTATTAAAAAAGAAAACTCAACATGCCTTTTTATGATTCAGCTACATAACTACTTAAATTAGCAATATTATACAGTGGGGTCTTGACTTAAGAACGGCTTGAGTTAAGAACATTTTGACTTAAGAACCACTCTCATAGGAAAATATTGACTTGACTTACATACTTAGATTTGAGTTAAGAACTGAAAAAAAAAACACGTGGGAACTTGAGAACTGCCTTCCAATACGGATTAAGTTCTCAAGTCAAGACCCCACTGTATTTAAAAGACATAGGGTTATATCCAACAGTACCAGTCCATCAATGGACCAGCATCTGTAAACAAAATGGATTCCTCACAATACTGTCCCCACAAAATCCCAAATAGATTAGGGAATGCAGAGGGCTGCAGGGGGAAGACAGAAAGGAGCCATATTCAGTGAACTGAAGTCTGCACTCACAATGCTGCATATCACTCATAAATATTCAAGTATAAATGAAAAAGATCTAAACTAATGTATGTATGAATACATTTACTAATACATAATTTATATTTTTCAAGAAATGACCCACATAAAAATATTTACTGTTGAAACATTTTATTCAGAAGTGTCATGAACAGAAGGCAGAAAAACATGATACACGTTACACATATTTACCCAGAATTACATGAAACTTACTGTCCACAGTTAAAAACATCTATTTTTCAGAGAGGTAACAATATTAAGTCTGTTTCAGGAAGCAAAAAACCCGTAGAATTATTGTGACACTGTTATGATTATAAATTTATTGTGGCGTATGCTTCCATGGATTGCAATCCACTTTTTCTGAAGAAACGGGTTTGAAATTAAAAAAAAAGTCTATTGTTGTGACATTCGCCCTCGTAGCTCCTGCTTGTCTCCCCAAACACAGAGCTCACAAGGTACCTCAGCACACCCTCTGATATGCTGCCACCAGTTGATCTCTTTATCAACTTAGTTTACTTAGAAAAGACGGTCCATCCAGTAATCACTTTTTAACAGAACGGATTTATTAATTACAGGTGGTTTCTGGAATAATTCATAAGCACATTCTTTCAGTTTCATCAAGCTTCAATATTTCACCTTCTATATTAATCATCACAGATCACACTCAGATTAATCACTCTTCAGACTTTTCTCTACTCAGAACCCCCAAAGTGTCCTCTTCTCTACGTAGCTCTCTCCGATTCTCTGACTGAACTTCTCTCCCAGGCTCTGCCTCTTTAGCAGCCCCTTTGGTCCTGCCTCACAACCACATTAACATATAACTCGTGAATAATGCATATCACTTAGGGCGAATGCCACAAATGTTTATCGCCATGGTTATTTGTGATTCTTTATCTTACAACAGATATTTAGAAGACAGCTGCAGTTTCAAGTCAGCTGTCTATACCTAGCCACAACAGCCTTGGCTGTGTATTCAGAGAACTTCAAAACTCATAATATCCATTTTTACCCAAACTGATCCAGAATACTTTGAGGTCATTTCTTAAAAGCATGATACATTCATTATATGGCATGTTAAGAGTAAGAAGGTATTGGATATTTAAACCATTAAACATTCAATCTGGAGCCTCACGGCACGGTGGTTAAACGGCTGTACTGCAGCCAAAACTGCTCACGACCCAGGGTTCTACCCCAGGTAGCCCGCTCATGGTTGACTTAGTCTTCTATCCTTTTGAGGTCGGTAAAATGAGTACCCAGCTTGCCAGGGGGGGGGGAATATGTAGCCTGCATAATTAACTTGTAAACCACTCAGAGAGTGCTTTAAGTACTACGAAACAGTATATAAGCAGCATGCTTTGCTTTTTAAAAAATCAATGCAGAAACCATGATGAATCTGTAATTCATATATTTTAAATATGGTATATATCACTAAAGAGAATAAAGTGAAGCCTCCAGTTCAAGTATCAAGCTTGACGTAAGAATTACCAAAATAATGCACAAGACATCCTTTGAACACTTAAGTATTACAGGCATTACAGAGTACTAGGATCTTCATCATCATGATGGATTGGTAAACTGCTATATGTACACACATGATTGCACCTCACTGTATAACACCAATGCAATTATTAAATCTGCGGATGATACGACAGTGGTGGGGCTCATAAATGGGAACAATGAGTCTGCTTATAGAAAGGAAGTACAAAGGTTGATACTTTGGTGTAAAGAAAATCATCTCACACTTAACATCAAAAAAACTAAAGAACTCATAATTGATTTTAGGAGGAAGAGAAATGTACATTTACCACTGTACATAAACGGTGAGGAAGTGGAGAGAGTTGGTAGTTTTAAATTTCTGGGTACTTACATCTCAGAGGACCTCTCATGGACTATAAATGCCAACATGCTAAT